CACAATACAGACTGCAGCTCAGACAGCTGCTGGACAGATGTGTGTGTGTGTGTGTGTGTGTGTGTGTGTGTGTGTGTGTGTGTGTGTGTGTACTGTAACTCTTTATTTCACACAGACAGCTTCAGCATTTGTTCTGCTTTCTCTGCTTTTATTGAATGTGACAGAAAAACACGACTAGAATTTACACAAACGTGTTTACAGGCTGACTTTAATGTGTTTCTGCACATGCTTGTCCTCTGGTCATGTGATCATGTGGTTTGTAAGACGCTCCTCTTCCTCAGAGGATCCACCTGTGCTTCCTCTCCTCTCTCCTCCACCTGTTACAGTGAGGGAACGTCCTCCATGTATGTATGTATGTATATATATGTATATATTGTACTATTCTTAGTTAGCGTATTGTCTGTCTTGTCTTAATGTTGGTTTAAAATGGAGCACTGTAACAAAAAATAATTTCCCCCAGGGATCAATAAAGTATTCTGATTCTGATTCTGATTCTGATTCCATGATGGAGGAGCTGCTGGAAAGTGCTGAGAGTTTCCTCCAGAGTGAGACCTCTGTCACAGTTCAGAGGATCTACGGCAGCAGAGACCTTCATGGACACTAAAAGTCTCAAACACACAACAACAACATCACACTGACTCCACTCTGACATCACTGATCAATAATCAAAGAACACACAGATCAAACTAATTGATCAGCCATCAGAGGAGTCGGATCAATGGAGCTGCTTCTGTTCCTGATGTCCCCTGTTTGATCCTGGACCTGAACTCTCCCTGCAGAGGAGACACAAGACAGTCAGAGACACACACACACACACACACACACGCACACGTACACACACACACACAGACACACACACACACACACACACACACACACACACACACACACACACACGCACACAAACCTTTAACTTTGAGCTGCACTGTTTGAATCTAAATCGTCCGTTCCTCCTCACATCACACACATATCTCCCACTGTCTCTCTCTGTGGGCTGTTTCAGGGTCAGACTGAGGTCTCCAGTTTTCAGCAGGTCTTCATTCATCTTTGTTCGGTCTCTGTAAACCTGGTCCTGTTTGTGAGGCTGGTAAGAGCCGTTCTTACATACATACACGTGGACCATGTTGTATTCAGGGTCATAGCGTTCCCACTCCACTCTAACATCTTCAGGCAGGTTTTGTGATGTTTTGAAGGGCAGCTGGACAGACTCCGCCCCCTCCTCCACCTCCACCTGACGCACTGAGAGGACAACAAACACAACATGAGCTGTACAAAGTGTGATTGGTGTTCAGAGCATCATGTGACTCTTGTTCTGCACTAAATGAAGCGATGGAGTGGCGCCTCCTTCAGGCAGAGAAACAGCTCATGGAGAGAAATAATTATTAGAGCAAAAACAAGAGTGGAGCTGCAAATAAGGCCGAGAGGAACGCTGCAGAAAACTGTTCATGTGTGAATTCATCACTTCATAGATTTCTTTGAGCACTAAATCAGAGCTGCTTCTATTTCTAATATGACAGCTGTACATTAGAGCTGCAACACTTTAAATGTGAGCCATAAAAACATGATACTCTACAAGTGCATTCAGCTCTGACACTGTCACATCATGAAGGAGACGTGGAAATCACTTTGTTACACAAATCAAAGTCAAATCAGTTCTATTGATGGAATATTGTGTGATCAATAGACTGATCAGTTTCTAATCTGTCATCGATCAGCTGGAAATCCAGCATGTCAAACAGACAGGCAGCAGATTAGGACCAAACACAAACACAGTGAGACTTTTCTTCACAGCAGTTGCAGGTAAACTGCAGCAACAATGCGACTCAGACAGTTTCTCTGTAACTGCAGGGCTTCCTGCGCTGCTGTTAGTCAGACACGGATCAACAGGTTGTGGATAGAAAGCAGATTCCTTCAGCAGAGGATCCATATCACACGTGAAGCATGTCGTCGGGAAACAATCAGTAAAAATGGGACACTTTGAGCCTCAAACTCTGAACATGACCTGCTGCAGACCAGCTGATGTGTTCAGTTACCATGGTGAGGAATTTCACAATAAAGGAGGCGTGCGCTCTGTCTTTTCCCGGCCCGACGCTCTGGGACGTTTTAGACAAGTTTCCTGGCAGAATACGATCCCGTCCGGAGGCCGACACCATCCTTATCCACATGGGCACCAACCGGACTCCAAACAGCGCTCCCACTTCCTCAAACTGGACTTTGTGTGTCTTTGTGAGGCTGTGAAACAAGCCCACCGTAGTGTTTGTATCTGCGGCCCCACTCCCACCTGTGGCCGTGGGGCGTTTGGGCGGCTGCTCAGCCTCCACACCTGGCTCTCCTCCTACAGTTTCTCTGCTGCCTCCATCCACCTTGGTTCACTTTGCTCTTCTTAATGTTGGAGCTCTGAATAGTCAGGCTTTTATTCTGAAGGATTCTACAACTTCCCATCAGCTTGATTTGATGTTTTGAACAGAAACACGATGAAACCTGGAGAGGACTGTCTAGTCTGTGAACTCTGACCCCACATATGATTGTTTCAGTCAGCCCAGAGGAAGTGGCTGGAGCTTTGGCTTCAAATGCTCCCCTATTAAGGTGGATGAAGGGTGTAGTTTGGAGGTACTGCTTGTTAAAGTGTGAAACAGCTCCTATCTGTGCAGGTATCTCCGCCCTCCTAAGACTCCATCAGAGTTGGAGCTGAACTCTCAGATGTTTCCTGCTCCATGGTTCTTATGTGTGATCACATGATCTGAGCTGCTGATTTTAAGATCCATGTTGATGATCTTACTGACTCATTTGAGTTCCTCAGTACAGTAAATTCATTGGTTTCAAACAGCGTGTTGTTGGCCTACATATAACTGTGGGCTTCAGTATGAACTCCAGGCTTTGAGCTGATGTGTTTCTCTCTGATCATTGATGGATTCTGTTTGAGATCATTTTTCCAAGTGATCAGGCAAAAGCAGCTGTGTCAGTACGCTGACGCTCTTTTCATGAGGAAGCAGGAGAAACATGTTCATCAGTGTTTCTACCACCACTGGTGTTCCTCCTCCCTCACACACACAAACACTCTGAATGATCTGAACCTCCTTTGTACATCCACTTTAGATTCAACTGCACCTTTAAGATCAGGACTAAACGTGGTGCTCGCTCGCTGCCCTGGATCCACAAAGACATTCACAGTCTGAAAAGACAAAGCCGGAGGGCAGAAAGGAGACGGAAGAAGGTGAATCTTTAGCTCCATCATCAAGAGATGAAAGCATGAACGACTGATTTCAATGAACAGGTGAAGGAGGCGAGGGCCGGCTATTTCTCTCCTTTCATTCATTCTAATAAGCACAGCCCAGAGCTCTTTGGAGCTCTTTGGAGCTCTTTGGAGCTCAGTGGAGCGTCTTTGAAATCCGTCAAGTTTTCATCAGATTACGGCATTGAGAGAAAAACGTCTTCACTTTCCAAACTTTCCGAAGGATCAAATGAATGAGAGGAAATCCAAAACAGCAGCTCCTGATTCTTTTCTTGATGTCCCCGACCCCAGCCACCATATCTGATCTTCTTTTGTGCCAGTCTCTGTGGAGGAGCTTTGAAGGACTGTGGCACAACTGAAACGCTCATCAAGCTGTGTAGATATGATTCCTCCAAAGTTCCTGAGTGAAGTTTGGGATGTCCCTGCCCCTCGGCTGCTTCCAATAATGAACACTCGTCTGTCCTCTGGCTGTGTCCCAGAATACTTAAAGACAGCCTGTGTGCAAGCACTCATCAAAGATCCAGCCTCCATTCTTCTGACTACAACAATCACAGAGCCAGCTCAAAGTTTCCTTTTAGAGCAGAACTTTTGGAGAACACTGTCTGTCTGAAGCTTCTTGAAGCGTCACGTCCATGCTAGAACTCCACTTTGACTCTGACTGTGGATCCTGCTGAAGCTTCTCCAAATAGTGGAGAAATGAAGACAAGATCAGCAGACCCAGCTCAACAATGTCTGCAGGTGCTAACAGGTCAATCTTTGAGACGCTGAATGTTCCCAGTTTGCTGCTGTGAAACTAGAAGTGATGACTATTATTGTAACAGCACTGCAGCTGGAACTGCTGACGGGGCTGGAGATGAACTGGATTCTGATTTCAGGGACAGTTTTGGCTTTCAGTCGTCATCAAAACACTTTGTTTCATTCATGTTGCTCTGAAGCTTTCCTTTCTTATCATTGACGTGTTCTGAACCAATCACAGCCCTTTCCTTTACAGCGCTCTGCTTTCACCCCTCCCTGAAAGCCCAAATTCACTCTGTTTAGTTCAGCTGGAGCTGAGATGACACAGAGAGCCTTTGGTCCATGAGATCTATCTAGGAGACATCAGTAACATCAGGTTTGTGTCAGCCGTCCTGTAGAACGCTTCCATACAGCTGCTTCTGTCTCTGAGTATCTCTCAGCTTCAGCTGGGACTCCACCCAGGTGTTGGTTGGTTGACATTTGACAACATCCAAATGACTGGATCAAAGTGTTTGAATGATCCCAGCAGCTTTAAAACTATTGATATTTATACATTTACATTGATTTGCACTAAACTAACAAAACTATTGATTGGATCCAAACTCAAATCATGCCAGAGGCTTTTATTTTGAAGGTAGGATCATTTTAATGCTCTTCTTAGTTCATTTAAACACACAGTTGCTCCGCCTGACATTTTTGGCTTTTAGATCAAAACATCAAAGAATTTATTTTATTTGAATGAACTGAAAATAGATTCAAACTAAAAGCTTTTAGAGAATAAACTCCTGCATGACCTCTGACCTTTGACCTGTATCTGCAGCACTGACCTCTGACTTTCAGCTGCACTTTTCTCTTCAGCAGGATGTTTCCCTCCCTGCTGTAGACGGTGCAGGTGTAGGTCCAGTTGTCTCCATCTGTGGGGTGTTTCAGGGTCAGACTGAGGTCTCCAGTTCTCAGCAGGTCTTCATTCATCTTCGTTCGGTCTCTGTAAAACTGGTGCTGTTTGTGAGGCTGGTCAGAGCCGTTCTCATACACATGGACCTTTGCATTGTTATCCATCCACTCCACTTTAGCGTCTTCAGGCAGGTGAAGTGTGGTGTTTAAGGGCAGCTGGACAAACTCCACCCCTGATTCCACCTCCACCTGGGGGACTGAGAGGACAACAAAGCACAACATGAGCTTGGATGGAGACATTTGTGTTGCCTCTAACAGGCTGAATGCTGCTGCTTCACTGGGAGCTCACTGTTAGATAGAAAGTGGTCAGTGTGACATCACATGCTAACCTCAACATCAGACATGTTAACACTGTAACATTATTGGATGGAGCCCACTGAGACTGAAACACCATCACGAGTCTGACCTCTGACCTTTGACCTGGATCGACAGCACTGACCTCTGACTTTCAGCTCCACTTGTTTCTTCAGCAGGATGTTTCCCTCCCTGCTGTAGACGGTGCAGGTGTAGGTGTAGTTGTCATCATCTGTGGGGTATTTCAGGGTCAGACTGAGGTCTCCAGTTTTCAGCAGGTTTTCATTCATCTTCGTTCGGTCTCTGTAATCCTGGTTCTGTTCTTCAGGCTGGTCAGAGCCGTTCTCATACACGTGGACCTTCCTGTTGTAGTAACTTCTATAATTGTCCATCCACTCCACTTTAGCGCCTTCAGGCAGGTGAAGTGTGGTGTTGAAGGGCAGCTGGACAGACTCCACCCCTGATTCCACCTCCACCTGGGGGACTGAGAGGACAACAAAGCACAACATGAGCTTGGATGGAGACATTTGTGTTGACTCTAACAGGCTGAATGCTGCTGCTTCACTGGGAGCTCACTGTTAGATAGAAAGTGGTCAGTGTGAAGAGGAGACGCAGCAGAAAGATGAAGACTGACAGGAAGAAAGCAGTGAACAGACTGTTGGAGCTGCTGTTAGTGGGACAGGACTTTATTCAGTCTCTGAAGACCAGATTTGACTTGATGAAGCAGAGAAACACAGTCTGAGTGTTTCTGTCACACACACTTCATCACACAGCTCAGTTTGACAACATGTGGAAGAATTTGATAGAAGCTTCCTTTAGTAAAAGCACCAAGAAAACACCATGAAAACACCTCACTACACACAAAACTGCAGTACTGGCAAATTGTACATAAAGTATGAAAAGTCAAAGTACTTATTGTGCAGAAAAATGTTCCCATCAGTGTCTGTGGATCAATATTACTGCTGCACATGTTTAAGGCTGAGCTCATTTCAAATCCTTTCTATTGTGTTGAATCTGCAGTAATGCATCATATTCTATAAAATCATATGTTTGTAGTGGCTGTCCTGTGAGGACCACGTCTCTCTAAACAAACAGCTGTTAATGAGCTCACAAACACAGGCCTACAGCTGGATTTGAAAAAGTCCATTCAATAGAAAATCAACAGTCACAGCTGGATTCAAAGGCTTGAGCTCTGTGTGACATGGTTACCTGTCAGCATCTACAGGGGGATTCAAATATGAAGGAAACATGAAGGTGGTGCATTAGAAAAACTGCTGCTTTCAAGCAGAGCAACAAACTGTTTGAACTGATCCAACTTTATTCGCACAGACAAAGATTTGTGCATCAGCTGCTGTTTGCTGCTATAGATATAATCCAGCTGATGTGGAGAACTACATGTGACACTGTGATGCAACCATGAATCTGACTGATTTCTTTCCATTTTCAAAGGTTGATGCATCAGTTAAAGTCCTTAAAAAGCTCAGAAATAAAGAGAAAGGTTGGTTAAAGCAAAGAGAGGCACTGGCAGCCTTTAAGACACTAAACAAGAGAAACAGATCAGAGAACATCAGACTGAATAAGTGGAATAAAGTGAAACAGAGAACTAACGCTCCCTAAGAATGGAGCTGTCAGAGGAAGAGAGCAGCAAACTGAAAGTCTCTGTTAGCTGCAGAGCTCTGAAACTTCACACAGCTTTGGATGATAACATGGAGAAAGGATGTGGAGATGTTCACACTTCTGCTAGAAATCATCTTCTAGTTATTGTGACTCAGATATGACTGGTTATAGATGAGGACCAAAGAAGGTTGTTACTGAGATTTGAGCTGACTTAGCTTAGCCTGTGTTTCAGCCACATGCTAAACAAACACATGTTCAGAAACTAGAAGATGTTACCTTTCAGATGAAGTCTCACACATGAACTTTGCTCCTACAGTTCATCTGCTGAAGCTTTTACATTTGGCTGGAAATCAAAGAAAAACCAAAACAGCCACAAACATCAGACATACTAACACTGTGACATTATTGGATGGAGCCCACTGAGACTGAACCACCATCATGAGTCTGACCTCTGACCTTTGACCTGTATCTACAGCACTGACCTCTGACTTTCAGATTCACTTGTTTCCTCAGCAGGATGTTTCCCTCCCTGTTGTACACGGTGCAGGTATAGGTGGAGTTGTCTCCATCTGTGGGGTGTTGCAGGGTCAGACTGAGGTCTCCAGGTTCCAGTAAGTTTCTCTTCATCTTTGTTCGGTTCTTGTATTTATCGTCCTGTTCTTCAGGCTGGTCAGAGCCGTTCTCATACATGTGGACCTTCCTGTTGTTTGCATCCTTCCACTCCACTTTAGCATCTTTAGGCAGGCAAACTGTGGTTTTGCAGATCAGCTGGACAGACTCCACCCCTGAATCCACCCCCACCTTATAAACTGAGAGGACAACAAAGCACAACATGAGCTGTAGTGAAGGTTACTAATGTTCTCCTTATGACCTGTTACAGTGGACTTATTTCTGTGCTTGTCCTGTTAGACCTCAGTGTAGACCACAACATTTTACTACAAACACTAGAACACACCAGTGTTATTAAAGGAAACTTACTGCAGTGGTTTGAATCACATCTGATAGATTCCAGTTTGTTCATGTAAATGAGGAGTTTCCTTCACAAACAAAAATTATTCATAGATGTGTATGATTGCTCTCCAGATGATACACATTCGATTTTCATGATTAATACCTGTCAAATCATTTACAGGCACGTTTTAAAGACACAAGGCCTGGATCAACTCTAATTTACTGCTTCTAAATTCATCACATTGATCCAGGACCTGTACATAACTAGAACTAACACACACATATTAGTGTTTTTCAAATGAGGTCAGTGACCACTGTGTGATCGCTGCAGTCAGACAATATATATATATATATATATATATATTAATACACACCTATATCTACGTACGTGTGTGTGGTGTGTGTGTGTGTAACTAGACTTTATGCATATTATGTAAGGTGTGGCTATATAAATGTATGTACAACTCTGTATATATGTTTATGGACAGGCATGCAATGTAGTGACAAGGATTGACAAGAACTAATATTGCATATGAGAAATATTGCCCTGCCCATACCTTACATAGGCTATTTTGAATTAGATGTGCATCTGTGTGGTAAAGAGATTACCCGGCGAGGTGTGCTGGTTGTAAGGGATCCCCCACAGGTAACAATGTCAGCACCTGGGGTTTTAGGAATGAATGTTATTAGGGAATGTTATCGCGAGTTGTTCGCACAACATGGTTCTTCCCTTTTTAATTGCCCCCCAGTGGCTCAGACCCCTATTTTAATACAACAAGCTCTCCAGCAGTGCCATCAGATCCAGGCTAAGGCCCCCCCCCCAGAACGCTCAAGTCGGGTAAAGGTCAAGGGAGGTAGAGTTTGCCGCGTCCCCGGCGGTACCATAAAAATTGTGGCAGCTACATGTTCACAACATCTGGCAGCAGAGGCTCTGTTTGAGCCGCTCGGTTGTGGTTTACCTGCCGGCTTGTTGGCATCCCCTGGTCTTCTTTGTGTTAACAGAGGCACAGTTTATATCCCAATTGTTAACATTGATGTGCAGGATGTAGTACTGTCTCCTCGTACTATGATCTGCACCCTGAGCTATGCTCATCTGGTTAGCTCCCCCCAGGGTCTCCAAGAGGAGGGTATGGCAGCTACCGTATCCTCACAGACTGCAGTTAGTCCAGTGCAAGATAAAATTGCTGCTATTGACTTATCCACTCTTACTGCACAGGAGCAAGGTCATGTGAGGTCATTACTATACAAGTATAGTGGCGTCTTTTCCGATCACGACGGGGATATAGGCTGTACTAACTTGATTTCTCATGATATTCCCCTAGTGGAAGACACCCCGGTGCAGCAGAGGTACAGGCGTATTCCCCCCTCAGAATATGAGGCCGTAAAAGCTCACATTCGACAACTTCTTGAGGCCCAGGTAATTAGGGAAAGCAGTAGCCCCTTTGCTTCACCCATTGTGTTGGTAAGAAAAAAAGATGGAAGCCTTCGCTTGTGTGTGGACTACTGGGCTTTAAACAGTAAGACCCGCAAGGATGCTTTCCCCCTGCCACGTATTGACGAGTCACTCGACGCTTTATGCGGTGCCCGCTGGTTTTCCACTTTGGACCTTGCCGCAGGTTATAACCAAGTCCCTGTTACAGAAAAAGACAAAATGAAGACTGCATTCTGCACTCCTTTTGGGTTGTTTGAGTGGAATAGGATGCCCTTTGGGTTGTGTAATGCCCCAAGTACATTTCAGAGATTAATGGAGAGGATCTTTGGAGACCAACACTGTCAGTCATTGTTGCTTATTTAGATGATGTTATTGTGTTTTCTTCTACAGTAGAGGAACATGTGAGTCGCTTGGATGTTGTCCTGGGACGGTTGCAGCAAGAGGGTCTCAAGGCTAACTTGGAAAAGTGTTCCTTTTTCCAATCTGAGGTGAGCTACTTGGGTCATGTTGTGTCGAGGGATGGTGTGTCTACCGACCCTAATCAGAATCAGAATCAGAATCGTGTTTATTGGCCAAGTATATGTGCAGACACATTCAGGGAATTTGGTTCCGGTAGATCGTGGCTCTCAAGCACGGCAATGTAAATCACACACACACACACACACACACACACACACACACACACACACACACACACACACACACACACACACACACACACACACAAGTGTCTATATAAACACATTACACATACATACACAAAGCTGTGTAAATCAACTATAAATAACGAATCTAAACTTATATACATAAAATACAGAAATGAATGAGGTGGAATGAATACTACAGAATGTACATAAGGTGCAGTTGCAGTCTGGCAGTGGGAGCAGTGTGACAGGTCAACTGTTAAGAAGGGAGATGGCGAGGGGAAAGAAACTGTTCCTGTGTTGGGTGGTCCTGGTCTGCAGGCTTCTGTACCGTCTGCCAGAGGGCAGCAGATCAAAAAGTCTGTGTCCAGGGTGTGAGGGGTCTGTGATGATTTTCCCTGCCCGTTTCCTGGTTCTTGAGAGGTACAGATCCTGGATGGAGGGCAGGGGGGCGCTGATGATCCTTTCTGCTGCCCGTACAGTCCGCTGCAGTCTGCTCCTGTCCTGTTTAGTGGCTGCTCCATACCAGACTGTGATGGAGGAGCACAGGACAGACTCAATGACCGCAGTGTAGAACTGGATCAGCAGCTCCTGTGGAAGACTGTACTTCCCCAGTTGTCTCAGGAAGTACATCCTCTGCTGGGTCTTTTTGAGGATGGAGTTGATGTTGGTCTCCCACTTCAGGTCCTGGGAGATGGTGGTACCCAGGAACTTGAAGGTCTTCACAGTTGACACAGGGCTGTCTGATATGGTGAGGGGAGCAGAGTTGAGGGATGTCTCCTGAAGTCCACTGTCATCTCTACAGTTTTAAGAGTGTTGAGCTCCAGATTGTGCTGACTGCACCAGAGTACCAGCCACTCAACTTCCTGCTGGTATGCAGACTCATCACCATCTTGAATGAGGCCAATGACAGTGGTGTCATCTGCAAACTTTAGGAGTTTGACAGCCGAGTTCTTGGAGGTGCAGTCGTTAGTGTAGAGGGAGAACAGTAGTGGTGAGAGGACACATCCTTGAGGGGCACCAATACTGAGGGACCGAGTTTCAGAGGTGCTCTCCCCCAGCCTCACTTGTTGCTTTCTGTCTGTCAGGAAGCTGGTGATCCACTGACAGGTAGCTGGTGACACACTGAGCTGGGAGAGTTTGGAGGAAAGAAGTTCAGGCACAATGGTGTTAAAAGCCGAACTAAAGTCCACAAACAGGACCCTGGCATAAGTTCCCAGGCGGTCAAGGTGTTGCAGGATGTAATGCAGCCCCATGTTCACTGCATCATCCACCGACCTGTTTGCCCGGTAGGCAAACTGCAGAGGGTCCAGCTGGTGGCCTGTAATGTCTTTCAGATAGGCTAACACCAGTGGTTCGAAGGATTTCATGACCACAGACGTCAAGGCAACAGGTCTGTAGTCATTCAGTCCTGTGATGGTGGGTTTCTTGGGGACAGGGATGATGGTGGAGCGTTTGAAGCAGGAGGGAACTTCACACAGCTCCAGGGATCTGTTGAAGGTGCGAGTAAAGATCGGAGCCAGCTGTTCAGCACAGGTTTTGAGGCAGGAGGGTGAGACGCCGTCTGGTCCGGGGCTTTCCTGGGCTTCTGTTCCTGGAATAGTCGGCTCACATCCTGAGTGTGTATTCTGAGTTTCAGGGAGGACGAAAGGGGGGTGAGAGGTGTGGCGGAGGTCGTTGAGTCTGGATTGGAGAGGGTGGTGGTGGTCGTTGAGTCAATAATAAAATTGAAGCAGTGTCTAAGTGGCCCCGGCCTAACCATGTCTCTGAGTTGTGTTCCTTCTTAGGCTTTGCAAACTACTATCGTCGTTTTGTTGAGGGATTCGCAAAATTGGCCGCCCCCCTACATCGCCTAGTTGCTGAGCTGACTGGTACCAAGTCCAGGAAACCTGCCATACAGGTTTATCTGCAGCATGGACAGATGAATGTGAGAAGAGCTTTGAAGGGCTTAAACAGAGGTTGGTGTCTGCTCCAGTTTTGGCTTATGCTAATTTTTCTCTGCCGTTTATCTTAGAGGTGGATGCTAGCTATCAGGGCCTAGATGCAGTGCTCTCCCAAGAACAGGCAGGGAAGATCCGACCTATAGCATATGCCAGCCGTGGCCTTCGTCCTACAGAGCGTAATATGGAAAGCTATAGCTCTATGAATTTGGAGTTTCTGGCCTTGAAGTGGGCCATGACTGAAAAGTTCAGAGATTATCTGTTGGGGCAGAAGTATATACAGATAATAATCCCTCAGTCATTTGTCCACAGCCAAGCTGGGCGCTACAGAACAGCGCTGGGCTGCACAGCTTGCTGCCTTTGATTTCACCATCAAGCATCGACCTGGTCGAAGTAATAAGAATGCAGATGCTCTCTCATGGCAAAATCCCGCTGAAGTTACTTCAGTTAATGAACTAGGCATAGTCTCTGGTACCCTCTGCCTGCCCTTTGCAACAGGTTTTTGGTGTGAAACCACTAACTGAGGCTGTTCAAGCCACTATCTCAGTCTTCCAGGACATGCGCCGTCTGACCTTTGTGTTTTGCAGGAGGCTGACCCTATTATTCAGGAGTTTCTGAAGTTTTGGATACGGAGAAGGGGGCCTGATGCAACTGAACGTGGCCAAACCTCGAGGGAAGTCCTCGAATTGGTCAGGCAATGGCGTAGGTTAGTGGAGCAGGGTGGTGTGTTATATCGCAAGGTCTCTCATCCTAGGGGAGAAGAGATGCTGCAGGTGCTATTGCCCAAGTCACTGCAGGGTCAGGTTTTGCATCAGTTGCACCAGGAGCACGGACACCAGGGT